ATCTCCTACTATCTAAGAGTGACGAATCCTTTATTGATCTATCACAACCTTCATACGATTCTTGACATACCCGAACGATATCGCATTAGCGGCCCTTTTCAGAGTAACATCCAACACCGCCAAAGTATGACTATCCTCATATAAGGTACTATGACGACCTCAAGTCAAAGGACCAATTCCACTACCGAACGTTAGAGATTAACCACTGACACTCAGATAGTTATCCATGTGGAATCTCTCGACGGGTCTCCAATGTTTTGTTCTATAACAAAAACACCCAGTGTTCATTTAAGTGTCACCACACTTTAGCTTATGAGGTCAGCTACTTACTTCACAAGTAAGAAATGCCACACGTGATGGTCTATCCGTAATAACGATATCCGTATCTCGTTATTACTTACGACCACGGATGATTTAAGATTCAATCAGATGTAATTTGTATCTCACAATCACAACTCCTTGTGATTAACAAATTACAAATATTTGAATCTACGGACTCTATTATTTATTTAATTGTCTATTAATTAAATAATAGATCTGCCATTTAATTGCATTAAATATATATAAAAGTATTTATGTCCAAAGTTGATTGGACCTAGGGCATAATACTTACACTTATGTCATTTCTAATTTGATGTACTTAAAACAAGCATTTCTTATTTGTGATAGTAAATTAGTAATAAAGCTGATCCTTTTAAGTATAAGATTACGTCAAAGATTTAATAAGAGAGTTAACTTTGAGTTCATCATAAATGATTTTAGTACTCTTAACAATAAAAATGGAAAGAAAGAACGTGTAAAAGTTAAATTGTTAACCACAAGTTTTGAAGCACATGAAACACATATGACTAGAGATGTCAACGAGTTGAGTCGAACTAACTCACGAACTGAAACTCAAGGCTCCGGCTCAACTCGAATAAAATGAAAATGGGCTTTTTTTTGCCCGAGTCGAGCAAAAAGTGGCCAAAAATTCGAAGCTCAACTCTAGCCTTATCGAGCCGGACCGGGCCGGGCCGACCTGAGCTGGCTCCATTTTTTTTATTTTTTTATTTTTTATTTCCAAAGGCAACACACATGGCCTTTAAAAAGGTAGGTATGCTCTATTGCCCCTCTTTTTTCCCCCCCTTTTTTTTATTTTTTATTTTAACAAAGCTCGACCGAAAATGGGCTCGGACCGAGCCTTGGCTCGATTATAACAAGCCTCGATCGGGGCCGACTCGAAATTTTTCCTGACCAAGCCACATGCGGTCTAAGTTGGTGACCCAAAATTTCATCCCTACATATGACATGGGTACCTTTGCACAAAAACTTTAAGGAAGCAAGATACGTTATTGAAAAAAAAAAATAAAAATAAAAAAATTTGACCAGAAAATAATAATATTCCAACCATTCTCTGATTTATTTATTTATTATTATTATTATTATTATTATTTTTTTTTGACATTCGCCTTTTCTCTCTCTCATGTTCATGATATATTAACTACTTAAATAAAATAAATTTGTGGCTACCAATAGCACTTGTCCCCATATTTTCTAAATGTATTAAACCTAGAAAAAGATCTGTAGCTTTTTTTTTTTCTAAAGTCCGATTTTTTCCCCCTTTTAAGTATATTTCTTGATGGTTTTTTGAATTTTTAATCTTCAAAAATATAAGTGGTGTAAAATTTTCATTAATTCAGATTTTTGAATTTATTATTTAAATTTTTTTTAAAAAAATTTAATTTTGTAATGCTAAGTTATTTAAGTTTTTATTTAAAATATTTATTGATGGAAATTGCTAAGTTAAGTTTGAGTTCATCATAAATGATTTTAGTACTCTGTCTAACAATAAAAATGGAAAGAAAGAACGTGTAAAAGTTAAATTCTTAACCACAAGTTATGAAGCACACGAAACACATATGACTAGGGATGTCAACGAGTTAAATCGAACTGGCTCACAAACTGAAAATCAAGGCTCGAGCTCAGCTCAAGTAAAATGAAAATGGGCTTTTTTTGGCTCGAGTCGAGCAAAAACTTAGCCAACAATTTGAAGCTCGACTCTGGTCTTATCGAGCCGGACCGGGCCGACCTGAGCCGACTCCTTTTTTTATTTTTTATTTTTTTTGGTTATTTTTTATTTTATTTTTTTTTCCAAAGGGAACACACATGGCCTTTAAAAAGGCAGTCTGCTCTATTGCCCCTCTTTTTTCCCTTTTTTTTTTTTTTTTTTAATTTTAAGAGAGCTCGCCCGAAAATGGGCTCGAACCGAGCCTTGGCTCGATTAGAACAAGGCTCGATGGGGGCCGACTTGAACTTTTTCCTGACCAAGTCATAGGCGGTCTAAGTCGGTGACCCAAATGTTTATCCCTACATATGACATGGGTACGTTTGCACAAATTTTTTAAGGAAGCAAGATACGTTATTGAAAGAAAAAAAAAATTTTAAAAAATAAAAATTGACCAGAAAATAAAAGTATTCCAACCATTCTGTGATTTGTTTATTTATTTATTTATTTTTTTACTGGTCTTTATTCCATAGTCTTATTGACTTGTCTTAGTTTTTATTGATAAATAGTTCCACTTTCTATATCTTTTAGCCAACCATTGGCACAGGAAGTTTTACTTTTCCTTGCTTATTTACGAAAATCCAGACTCGATTGCAACAAAAATTCTCAATTACATAATTGTCATCAGGAACAATCACACCAATCACCAACGGATTGTCTTTCTCAATGATTCTCTTGGCTTTTTCTCCATCCATACCGAGGGTGTTAGGCCACCTGTATTTATACCCTATATATATATATATCCTTGTGTTAAATTTTGAATTATTTGCAAGTTTAAGCATTATCTGAAAATTGTATTACACATATATTTTATATCAATATACATGAATTAATCAGACACAAACTCACCTGGAGTACAGCACGCATGGTCAGTGCATGATCCGTTCGCACATGGTGGATAAGGATTCATTATTTCTATACTTCGAAATCAGTTTTTACTTTGTGGTTATGGGTAGTGCCTATTTGCTGTTAAACAATCCAAAGAAAATAAAGAAAAAGGAGGAGGTTGAGATTTCATTGATACTACATTAATTAATTGAATGTTAAAAGATAGTTTAACTTAAATACAAAAAGAATATATATAGGCTAAACAAAGAAAACTAAAAAAGGACTATTTTACCCTTAATAAATAATAAATAATTCTATATTTCTTAACAATCCTTTTATAATACTTTTTTCTGTAATAATCTGTAGATTTTTTTGTAAAGGTGGATGCTTTAAATATTGAAGTATTTTCCAAATTCAAATATGATTCAATATTGATTTATTCTTTTATTACATATGAATTATATGAATAATTTTTAGTTTCTCTATATACGTAATTGTAATTAAATCTTCACATCTCCAATTATTGAATTCTTATAATAGCAGTAAGTGTGAGGCCCCTCAATACCCGAATAAGAATTCAATTAATTAACTAATTCCAAATTATTTCCAAAACAATTATTTATGGAATCTGGAAAAGAAATTGGAATAATAATTGATTTTGTTTCAAATGAAAATCCAAATGAAAAAAATCAATCGTAAAAGCTATCCCAAGAGTGCTAAGCTATTAGGATTTCCTACGCCTTGAGCGTGTTTATTACGTACATTTAACGGGAAGGTAGTGACTAATTTTGTAATAGTTCAGTTGGATAATTGAAACTTCACAAATTTGCGACAAATAATAAAGTAGTGAATAAAGTATATTGAAATTTTTAACACTACTTTTATCCGAACAATAAATTAAAAGTGATTTTGTATGGCTAGAATTGATAATTAGTTAAAGTAGTGAATAAAGTGTATTGACATTTTTTTTTCTTGTTTAGAACTTAATGGCTCACTATAGACTCAATTTTTATTTTTATTTTTATTTTTTTCAGATTTTCAACATGGAACATGTAATAAGAATAATTTTAATTTTCTCACATAAAGTGAACATATTAATCAAGTCATACATACGTAAATCATTTAACATCTTTGTACATGTAAAAATGTGTAGACATATAAATGTCAGAGCATATTAGTTATCACGAAATTTCCCCAACATTCTTGTTTATGTTTAATAAGGTGGATAAACCTTGTAAGATATATACAACTTTTAATGTCATTATGAACTCTAATGTCATATTGAAATCTAACTTTTATTTCGAAAGGTCAATCTTAAATAATCCAAACTTTATGCTTTAATTATTTAATAATTTTTTTTGTCGATAATTGGTAAAATCTCATCGTAGTTCAAAGGGATATAAGTATAACAAATTGTACTTACTTATTCTCTACTCATTGAAGAAATTATACATATATTTAACTATTTTGATTTTGATATCAACATATAGAAAAGCATGACGAATATTAACTCTTTGTTTAGCAAAATTTATAAATCATTTATAAAATTTTATATAATATTTATTTACCAGTTATTTATTTTTATCAATTTATAAAGTAAACGGTTTATAATCCATCCAAATGGAGGCTAGATGTCAGAATGGTAACCATTCGAAAGACTTAAAATGCACAATACAATTTGAAAAAGCCAGCCTTTCTCAATCTTATCTAATTTAAATCATTAATATTTTATTTCTTGAACTATTTATCAATAAAAATAAATGTCTGATTTTTTTCCCTTTTAAGTATATTTCCTGATGGTTTTTTTATTTTATTTTTAATCTTCAAAAATATTAGTGGTGTAAAATTTTCATTAATTGAGATTTTTTGAATTTATTATTTAAAAAAAATTAAAAATTTCATTTTGTAATGCTAAGTTATTTTAGTTTTTATTTAAAATATTTATTGATGGAAATTGCAATATTGAAAAAAAAAATCCATCCAAAAATCATTAATTATTATTTTTATATAATTTTTTATTTTTCTCATCAACTAGCCCTAAAAAGTGAGGGACGGGAAATTTCGTCGCTAATTTTCTTTTAATTAATAGAAAGTAAACCTTTCCTAATTCCATCGGTTAGTGGTAAATTTATTATGTCGCGTGTTTAATTAGCGTATTTGAAAACATCAAGTAAGAAGTTTAATCTAATGTAGGAAAGTACTTATTTATAATGTACAACAGCCAAATTTAACAATTTCCAAATTAAAATAAAATATTAATGATTTAAATTAGATAAGATTGAGAAAGGATGGCTTTCTTGGATAGTCGGATTACAACATAAGATCAACTACCTTAAAAGAAGATTAATTCCTTGTTATATCAGGACTTGTAAGAACGATTTTATTATAAAACACCCAAAAAAATAGGGATCAAATATGGATATTTTGTCCTATACGAGTTCATGTTCCCGTAGGAGTCCTAGTGCCAATTTTTCAGACTCCTAAACAAACTGTATCACTCTCTCATGCCTTTTTCACCCCTCAACTACTTCTATATATGCAAATGCATGTTCAAATCCTAATTAAAACTTCATCATTGCTTTCTCTTCTTCTCTCAATTCTTTTATTTTTCTGAGATGGGTGGCGTTAGTATTGCAGTTGGCCGGGGCAGCAAGGATAATGATCCCTCGAAGTACCCTGGAAAACTCACATGGTATGTTGTGTTAACATTAATGGCTGCAGCCATGGGAGGATTGATCTTTGGATACGATATTGGTATATCAGGTATAAAATTTAGCCTTGTAATTCTTTTTCATGGTTTTGATTATTCAAGAAGAGTTCTGGTTTAAGTTTCTTGGTTTTCTTGATGCAGGTGGAGTTACTTCCATGGCGCCTTTTCTGAAGAAATTCTTTCCTTCTGTTTATCATAAACAGATGGATGATACATCAACTAATCAGTACTGCAAGTTTGACAGCCAGATTTTGACACTTTTTACATCATCCCTCTATTTGGCTGCCCTTGTAGCGTCCTTTTTTGCATCAACAATGACCAAGAAATTTGGCCGGAGAAAGTCGATGATGCTTGGTGGAATAATTTTCTTGGTTGGTGCCATAATCAATGCTGCGGCAGTGCACATCAGTATGCTAATCATAGGCCGTGTTTTATTGGGCATTGGCGTCGGCTTTGCCAACCAGGTAACTTACTTAATTTGTATCGGAGTTTATTCTTCTTGTTAATGCAAAAGTTGGAATAGATCATCTAATTTCTGTTCGATTCTGTTAATTATGCAGTCAGTGCCTCTTTATCTATCAGAGATGTCCCCGTACAATTATCGTGGAACTTTTAATGTTTGCTTCCAACTGATGATCACAATTGGAATTCTGGTAGCCAACCTGCTTAATTATTTCTCTGCCAAGATTGAAGGTGGCTGGGGATGGCGGCTCAGCCTTGGATTGGCTGGAGTTCCTGCCATCGTCATCATCATTGCATCTTTTTTCCTCTCCGACACCCCAAACTCTCTCATGGATAGGGGAAAGGAAGACGAGGCAAAAGCACTGCTCAAACGCATTCGTGGAGTTGAAAACGTTGATGCTGAATTCAATGATATTCTTGCAGCCAAGAATGAAGCAAGACTAGTACAGAATCCATGGCAAAACATCTTAAAGAGGCGGTGCTATCGTCCACAGTTGGTTATGTCCATCTTGATCCCTTTCTTCCAACAACTTACTGGAATCAACGTGGTTATGTTCTATGCTCCTGTGCTCTTTAAAACCATTGGATTTGGAAGCGATGCTTCTCTAATGTCAGCTGTTATTACTGGCATCATAAATGCCTTGGCGACTTTAGTATCTGTTGCATTTGCTGATAAATGGGGCAGAAGAACTCTGTTTCTTGAAGGAGGTGTCCAAATGCTTATCTTTCAGGTCTAACATTAACTGTTTTTGTATACCACATGCACTCATATTAATTATACATGGTCATAGCTAATGTAAGCTTTTGCTGATTCTTGACGATACAGATTGCAGTTGCAGCTCTTATTGGGGCCAAATTTGGTGTGACTGGAGATGTGACGCAGCTACCAAAGTGGTTTGCCATGGTGGTGGTGATAGGCATCTGCATCTATGTCGCTGGTTTCGCATGGTCTTGGGGGCCATTAGGATGGCTTTATCCAAGTGAGATTTTCTCGTTGGAGGTCAGGTCGGCAGGGCAAAGTGTTAACGTGGCAGTAAACATGTTCTTCACATTCTTAATAGCTCAGGCGTTCCTTTCGATGTTGTGCACGATGAAGTTTGGTCTCTTCATCTTCTTCGCATTCTTTGTGGCAGTGATGACAGTCTTTTGTTACTTCTTCATGCCTGAGACGAAGAACATTCCTATTGAAGAAATGACACAAGTCTGGAGAGACCACTGGTTCTGGAAAAGATATATGAATGATCCAAACGATCCAGTCAATAAAGCATTGGAGCTAACAAGGATGGAACAAGTCTGATTTTGTTAATTCAATTCTTCTTTTTCCTTTTCAGTTCTTACTTTTTGTGTTAGAAATTATCATTCCAAAACTGTAAATTTTCGTGTAGTTTTCAATATCAGTAAAATTACACCCTTTCATTATTCATTGGGTTCTGCTTTACTATATTTTTGCTGACATCTACTGATTGAAATTGTGATCATATTATGCTTCATACATGAAATAGATATTCTAAAATTTCAAATGATATGGAGATCTCCTTTCTAATACAAACTGCTAAATGTCAGCTTCTATCATCAAAAAGAAGTAATATGCCGCGACATTAATATTTCATTAAATCAGCTATATCTTATAGTGAAAACACACTTTTTGGAACTGATGGTGATTTCAAGATTACCTTGAGATTCACGAAGTTGAAACTGCTAGCAAATTCTACAGTACTGTAACTTCAAATCATCAGGAGTCGGAACAACATTTCTTGAGGCCGGAAAGATTGGAAAGCATCTTAATCATCATCTTCTTCTTCTTCCTCTGATTGAATAATTTTAAACTAATTTTTTTTTTTTTTTTTTTCAATTGTGCTGTAATAAACTTGACGTGCATTTGGCGATGCACACTAAAAATCTTTGTTAAACACTTTGAGAGTGTTC